TTAAGTAAAATCTAATACAGACCATTCGTTAGTACACCCATATCTAATACAGACCATTCGTTAGTCCACTCATATCTAACACTGAAACTATCTAACCACCAGGCCATTGGACAACTTGGAGGGTTTTGTTTACAAATCCACGATATCGGGCTTGGTGTTTACTGGTGATGGCGTGTTTAACCCTTACGTCCACTTCGGGCAGTCAACACTGTGGCCTAGAGGGTTCCCACTGTCTCATATAGGCGTACCACAGCGGCCTCTCTACAAGTGAGATTTCATTGTTTTCTGTACATGTTTTTCTCCCTCTCTCTCCCCTCTCTCTCTCCCCTCTCTCTCTCCCCACTCTCTATCTCCCCTTTCTCTCTCCTCGCTCTCTCTCTCCTCTCCCTCTCTCTCTTACTCCAACCTTCTCTATTTCTTTGTATATTATTTGTGTTTAACTGACAAAAGCAATGCGCATTAGTCAGGATGACAGCAGTTAGATGAATAGTTTGACCTTTATTTGGATTTCTATTGTCGTAGAGGCAATACGTCTCTTCTTGTTTTTTTGTGGTAATTATGATGCCATTCAGTTGTGTGAAGTAATGATCTTTATTGGTGTATAATATACTAAGCCACAGCTGTGATACATTGTGATTTTCTTAAACTGTAAGTTGGAGTTGTTGAGCTTATTTATTGTACTCTTAAAGTCTGTACATTTTATACTGACCTAGTGTCATAATCTTGCACATTTATTAAAAGGGTATTGATAGTTTAAGTCGTGTTGAGTCTCTTCGATTTGTCGTGTTTTACCCCTAGACAGCGTTAACGAGCTCACGGCAAGTTGTTGGGATTCCATTAGTGTGACTTCTGTCGGTACCATACCAAACGAACCCGGGGTGTCCGCTCCCTCCGCGGCTGTCGGAGAGCGGTCATTACCCCCCCCCCCCCCATGAGGATAAAATCTGAAAGAAACACTGTATGTCTCCTGGTACAGCATTGTCTAGTGTTATAATGTGAGGACCAGTTCCATTTGTGAACACACAGCAGCCCTCTACCAAGTTTTCCCGTTAGTTTACTCTGCTAAATATCTTTAGGCATTTCTTATTTAACTAGTAACAATACTGAGTATCATTAGAAATATCAAGAGGAGACGTCGTTTTGCGTGTTTACAAAATTTAACTATTTGAAGTCGTCCAAGAGTAGTGCACGGCATTAGTATTGTGTTTTAAACCCTCCCTAAAACCGCTCAACAAGTCCTGACGTCATTACAAAAAGTCACCCACCCTCCCTCTCTCCCTCCCTACCTCCTAAACGTAAAACATAATCGTCATTCCTCAGATTTATGATTTGCAATTAGACAAATCGTGTCCTTTACTGATGAAGAAAACATGATTTACATGAATTGTTTGTGCTATGCTATTGTTTCATTCATTTATTTTTGTATATTACACGTCAGGTTAGGCAGTCAGTGGAAGACACCAGCCATCCAACAAGGAATCGTCAACGGCGACCCCGACATGGATGCCATATTTAGACTCACACGAAAATCCACCACGGCACCGCTAAACGTGATCTTTGACCCGGTCTCCCCGCCAGCCATTTTACCCAAAGGCGTCTTCAGTCCCTTCAACTCGCAGAACACCCTGTTCCACAGTGAGGCCTTCTGGGCACTGTTTATCCCCAAAACGACAACCATTCGAGTGTGTGATATCTGGAGAGGGTACTGGGCGCAAAGGCTTTTATGGGAAGTGGGAGGGAGTCTTGGATTTTTTCCTGCTAACGCTTTCCAAAGGAGGAACGCACATTCGTACTTGAAAGACGCGCTAGAAGAAAAAGACATGTACTTTCAAACAGAAAACCTGTTACGGTTTTTGAGAAGCTGGGATTGTGGGAAGGATTTGTCGTTTTTTCAATGTGTTCTAAAACTGAGCTCAAATATGGCCGACAGAAACTTTTGGAAAACGGACGATGTTCTTATGACTAAACTCTGGTTGGATGACTTAAAATCAATTGGTTACATTGAACCGGAGCGTGTTGGATTGAATTTGAATTTTTCAGAGACATCTCAATATTTACAGATATTAAACGAAAACGTTGATTACCTCCCTGTTATAGGGAAGGGAGATAACGTATCGAATGTTATATACTCCTCAGTAGAGCAACCGTCTCCATCTGTTTATGAGACACCAACACGCGATAATGGTTTTTGTCACAAGATGAAAAAGATTACCTCTATGTGTGGTAGTTTATTAAATAACCAACCTCCTCAGGTGTACGAAGGTAGACTGAAAAACGCCATTTTTTTCTCAGATATTCTGCTTATCATTGTGTTCAATCACCCGTACTACAGTAACGTGAAGTACCTCGACGCCATTCATAGCCCGGTGTTCACCAACATTCTCTACTGCGGTGAAAACATAACCAAATTTCAAGACGAAACAAAAGACATGAATCAAACGTTCTCTTTCATCGAAGCCGAAGTCGTCCGTGGATTCGAAGGTTACATCTGCGCCATCAGGGCCATGCAGATGGGATACAGTGTCAGCGGTTACCTCTTCACTTCCGACGATCTTCTTTTCAAGCCTTGGGCGATGCTGGAACTAAACAAATCCAGCGCCGGCGTCACCTACGAAAGCCGCACCATATTTCTCAACATTTCCGAACCCGTTAATAAATATTTCCGATGGGGCGAGAAAATCGGAAGAACCGCGTATCTAAAAACACTATCGGATATTTCTATTCTTCCGCGAATTCCGGATGGTGTGCGATCGCTTGAGGAGTTTCAAAAAACTTTACTAACACACACAAACTCCAAAGACTTAGTTGTCGGAGACATTAGTGATTTGTATTACATCCCACAAAAGATGAGAGTGGAGGCGGTGTGGTACTTGTCCATGTTTTACAAAAACCGTGTCTTCCTTGAGCTAGCCGTACCGTGCGTTTTACGTGGTCTGGAACCCAAGCAACGCCTGAATTTATTCGGAGGAAAGAGCTATTACGGCGATAAAAGAGAACAAGTCTTTAGTACATACTACCTGCATAAATATTTCTTCCATCCTGCGAAGCTTTCCATGTCCAAAACGATTGAGGCGTATTGCAATTTATATTTTCCTGAACTTCTTGAAAAACTGTTCAATGCAACGGAAGCTTAAGTTAATGCACCCATGTTTATATAATTATATTAATTTGTTAGTTAACGATAAAACAAGATCATATTATGGTCTTCCATTCCGTAAACATTTCGGATATTGGCCTGAAAAGTCCCGCCACTAATGCAAAAAGTGTACGATCGAAAAGCTAAGCCCCCCCCCCCCCCCACACACGCACACTTTTTGTCAGCTCCTGTTAGGGTCAGGGTTAGGTCAAGTTTAGGGTCAAGGTCTGGGTTAGGGTTGGGTTAGGGTTTAAATCTAAAAGTACATGTATCATATCATCTTTTTTATTATCTTTTTTTTTTTGGTTGCCGGGAGATAACATTTGGCGTGTCTTACTCGGACGAAATTCACAATTTTTAACAGCTTTTTACCGAAATATGAACAAGCGAATTGTAAAGTTTTAAGAACATAATACAACTTATTTCGACAAACTGACGAAACTTAAGGTATCTGTCATAGCGTAGATATAAAGAATTAGACGACTAGTAGAGGTTACAAAGGACGGTGCGAACTTGACTGTAGACGATTTGGTGCGAGAGTATTGTGCGCATGTTGAATACAATATTTGTGGCGCGAATGTGACGTGAGCATGACACGACAATGTACCAATGACGTAGACCGCGGCAGTAACGTGAGTTGGGGGTTAGTAATTGTAGGAGACGGATGTATTCTTTGATATTGTGCAAATAAGTGTGTATTAATAAAGTTAGTGTTCTTTTCATAAACGAAGTGGTTGACTTTTGCTAATTAGTGTCTGCGGAACATAAGAGTGATTCCCGTCCTACTCACAAGTATAATAGTTGTCGTGTGAATAGTAGCAGATCAGAATATAGAAAAGATATAGAGAAGATATAATTATATAATATATATGAAACCCCCCATCACATATTGGTGGAGCACAAGTGGTCCTTAATTCCGCAAGTGGTGTATTAAAAAGGATTCGAGTGAAAAGTTGTGAAGTTTGAAGCGGATTCGTGTTGACCAGAGGTGCTACTAGATCATCGCAGGGAAGCAAGATAAGTACCTTCCTCTGATTTTTTTTAAGTAACCAGGATTGTTTGGATCCTGTGCTGGTTATTCAGCAGTTTTTCTTCTTCGTGTTTGTTTTATGTCTTTATAGATCTAGTCTTGTTATTCTTAAATTGGCTGAGGCTTCCTAACGATAGGACACACTGAGTGTAGGCCTGCCTTTTAAGAAGTACATATTACTATTAGATGTAGAAGTCCTGTTTGTACTGCCGTTCTCTACCTTCTATTGTTACCGTAGGTCCTGTATTATTATTGTGATTATCGCGTCAGTTATCTGTGCCGTTTATCGCTGTTTGTATAACACTTTAGTTATTTTTGTGTGTACGATTATTTTGTGTGCGTTCATTCAAATTATTAAAATTCACACACCATGACTGACCTCACTCAGTTGTATAAGCAAGGCAAGACGCTTGAAAAAAGTGGCGCTGAGCTAGAGGCATGGGTTGAAGAAAAATATAGAGCTATCACGGCTGATAAAGAGCGGTTGGCCCAAATAGACGCAGACAAGTGTATTAGAATTGAAATGGAACGTGGAAAACTGGAGCTAGAAAAAGACAAAGAAAGGACAAAAGAAAAATCAAGACTGGAATTGGCAAAAATAGACCTTGAGAAAGAAAAGGCTAGAATAGAAATGGAGAAAGAAATTGAATTAAAACGGTTAGAAGTCAACAAAAAAGTACACAAGCAGAGCAGGTTGAAGCACCACCAACAACAACCAATCATTTCAGAAGCATGCTATATAAAATGCCTAAATTTGAAGACAAAAAAGACGACATAGATGCTTTTATTCGACGGTTCGAAACGATCGCCAAGTCAGAAAACATAGCCGACAATATGATGAGCCAACACCTGCTCACCCTGGTTGGTGGAAGAGGACTCGACGCCTACCACACCCTGACTGACGAGGAAATAAAAGACTACAAGACATTAAAAAAGACCCTACTAGAATTCTACCACCTGACAGAAGAAACTTACCGACAAAAATTCCACCAACTTCAACCTAACAAAAATGAAGATTTCAAAGTGTTTACTAATGACTTAAAACTTACACTGGAAAAATGGATTGAGGCAGCATCTATTAACAAAACTTATGAAGATCTATTCCAATTCGTCCTGGTCGACAAAATATTAAATTCAGTCCACAGTGATTTATATTCCTTTTTACAAGAAAGAAAACCTAGAGATATAAAGACTGTCACAGAAATGACGCAGAAATTCATAGCGGCCCACCCGACAAATCCAGTATGCAAAAAGTACGACGAGACAGAATTAACTTCAGTATTCATGACCCATGTTGCCGACAGAAGCAGGGGCAGAAGTAAATACAAGAACCATATGCAGTTCAAACCCGACAGACAACAACAGATGCATCAGTCGGACAAACGATGTTTTTATTGCAACGGCCTTGGTCATTATAAAAAAGACTGCAGGAAGGCCAGAAGACCAAACTCGTTTCAACATAACAATCAGTTCCGTGCACACAGTGCGAACGGTCGCTACTACAACATTAACAGCAACAGAACAGAGAATGTTCATTTTATGAGAACAATAGGACACCATAAACTGCCGAGCTTCCAATGTAGGGTTAATGGACAGGTGGTGAACGCAATCAGGGACACAGGCTGCAGCACACTGGCCGTCAAAAGCAGTGTGGTACATCCCAACCAGTATACGGGTAAACATATACCTGTTCAGGGATTTGATGGTAAAATTTCCCTTCACCCTACTGTACGGATAGACGTTCACACACCATATATATCAGGTAGATATGCCGCTGTTGTTTTTAATAAAGGACCATACGACCTGATCATCGGCAATGTGATTGACAATCAGACGCTACCTCAAGGTGACATAGATAAGTGGCTGCAAACGGAAATAGTTCAATTGGTAGAAACGAGGGCCCAAACTGCTGCTAAAGTTATAGAAGAAAGTAAAGCATCAGAACAGGCCGTGAACAACGAGACTAAACAGTCGGTGGTGACAGAGACGACCTGGTCCCCTGAATCATTCCAACAAGAACAGCATAACGATGAATCGCTGAGCAAAATATTTAAACTTGCTCAGAAGAAATCGGTAACCATGTCAAAAAATAAAAAGGAACACTCCTTCTTTGTAAGAGACAACACATTGTTTAGAAAATTCACAGATAATGATAAAACAGTCAATCAGCTGGTAGCTCCACAGAAATACCGCCAGGCGATATTACATCACGCTCATGATCTACCACTGACAGCACACATGGGCAGAACAAAGACCAAGCAACGAATAGAATCTGCTTTCTACTGGCCTGGCATGGACAAAGACATATCTGCATATGTTAAATCATGTCACATATGCAGAACACAAGATACCTCTAAGCCACCCCCGGCCCCGCTCCAATCCCCCACCCTGGCGAATAAACCATTTCAAAAAATAGCCATCGACTTAATTGGTCCCCTACCCACTCCTTCAAAGCGTGGCCATCGTTTTATTTTAACCATCGTTGACCTAGCCACGAGATGGCCTGAAGCCTTTCCATTGAAGTCAACGACATCCCAAGATATAGTAAATGTATTATTAAACCTGTTTTCAAGAATTGGCTTCCCCGAAACAGTAATTTCCGACAGAGGACCCCAATTTACATCGGACCTTACAAGACAATTTACCGATGTATTGGGCATCAACCAAGTCTTTACTACACCTTACCACCCACAGAGTAATGGTATATGTGAAAGACTAAACGGTACCATTAAAACACTACTCGCTAAAATTACCACAAACGACCCTGACAACTGGGATAAAATGCTACCATGTGTATTATTTGCATATAGAGAGATCCCACAATCAACCACGGGGTTCTCACCATTCGAACTGGTATATGGAGCAAAGCCTAGAGGACCAATGGACATACTGAAACAGCTTTTGTACAGGCAGGACATAAATAACAATATACGAACCGCATATGAAACTGTGGTTAATACTAGAGACAATATAATAAAGGCTTGTCAAGAAGCTAAACCACCCACAGAGTAATGGTATATGTGAAAGACTAAACGGTACCATTAAAACACTACTCGCTAAAATTACCACAAACGACCCTGACAACTGGGATAAAATGCTACCATGTGTATTATTTGCATATAGAGAGATCCCACAATCAACCGCGGGGTTCTCACCATTCGAACTGGTATATGGAGCAAAGCCTAGAGGACCAATGGACATACTGAAACAGCTTTTGTACAGGCAGGACATAAATAACAATATACGAACCGCATATGAAACTGTGGTTAATACTAGAGACAATATAATAAAGGCTTGTCAAGAAGCTAAACTAACACTTCAAGAGAAAGGGGATATTGCTAGACATCGAATCAACCTACACAGAAAGCTAAGACAGTTCCGCATAGGTGAACAAGTTAGAGTGCTGTTACCATCTAAACAAAACAAGCTACAACTGGCATGGCAGAGACCGTTCCCTATCACTCGCAAAACAACAGATGTTGACTACGAGATAGAAATGAAAGGGAAAAAGAAAATTTTCCATGTCAATATTTTAAGTCCATATACTATCAGGTCAGAAGATTTCCATAGACAAGAACCGGCGATAATCAACTGTGCCATAATAGCCGATCAAGAGAGCAACACAGACACTCACAACCCAATTTACACATTTCCTACAGAACTTGAGTCATGGAAAGATATAAAAATAGGTAACCTACCTAAGCAAGCAGAACAACAAGTCATGACAATATTAAAAAAATTTAAAGATGTATTATCATCTAAGCCAGGAAAAACTGAGACCATATCACATGACATAAAGCTGTCACAAGATAAACCAATTAAATTGGCTCCCTATAACATTCCGTTACATCACAGGGAACATGTTCAACAAGAAATCAACGAATTATTGGAGTCTGGAATAATCAGTTATTCGGAGTCCCCATATGCGGCACCAATAGTGTTAGTTAAAAAGAAAGATGGCGGAATTAGACTATGCATAGACTACAGGCATCTTAACAACATCACCATACCTGACGCTGAACCGATGCCCAACCCAGAAGAACTGTTCTCGAGATTAAGCCGGGCCAAATATTTCACGAAATTGGATCTATCAAGGGGCTACTGGCAAATACCAATCAAGGAGGAGGTTAGATATTTAACGGCATTCATAACGCCTTTTGGTTTGTTTCAGTGGAATTACATGAGCTTCGGCTTGATGAATGCACCAGCGACGTTTAACAGACTCATGCGGAAAGTGCTGCATGGGCGGGATGATGTTATATCCTATCTCGATGATATTTGTTTGTTTCATGCAACCTGGGATGAACACATTAAAGCATTAGAGTCGCTGCTACAGTTATTGAAGACACATGGCCTTACAGCAAGACCTAGCAAAATAGAAGTAGGCATGAAAGAAATACAATTTCTAGGCCACTCGATATCACATGGACAGCAACAACCTATTCAAGACACCGTTAACAGAATTTTACAACTGCAAGTTCCTAAAACTATAAAGGAGGTCAGGAGTCTAATAGGACTATGTAGTTATTACAGAAAATTTATCCACAACTTTGCGATGATTATAGAACCATTAACAAACCTAACAAGAACAGGCAAGGACCATAATATTACCGGGAAAAACAGGAAGTTAGTATGGACTGAGTTGTGTGATGAAGCCTTGGCCCAGATTAAGGCCGCTTTCGCATCTGAACCGATTTTGAAGCTACCGGACACAGGAAAACCATTCACGTTGGCTACAGATGCCTCATCAATTGGTATAGGTGCATGTTTAATGCAAGAATTTGAGGGGAATTTACATCCAGTCATGTACATCAGTAGAAAACTGACTACTGCAGAGAAAAACTATGCAGTCATCGAGCGTGAATGTCTGGCTGTTGTTTGGGCGATACAAAAACTATCAAAATATCTCGCAGGTGCACACTTTGAATTACAGACAGACCACGCGCCACTAAAAGCACTTAATCAAAAAAAATTATCCAATTCCAAGCTGACTCGGTGGGCGTTGGGCTTACAGGACTATCATTTCACAGTTGTTCCCATCCCGGGAAAACAGAACCGACTGGCTGACATATTGTCAAGAAACTAAATATAGCTTACGCAGTCACAGGCAGAGAGCTGCTCCTGCACTACAGATATGTGACACGCAATACAACACACATGTCTTTTCTTTGTGTGTAGTAGATCTCTTTCTATTTTAATGCTAGTCGTGTGTAGTTAATGATTTAGTAATGTAGTTGGTATTTTGTTGATAATTATAATAATGTAGTTACTATTATTATTATGTAGTGTGTCGTGGACAAATAACCAGCATATCAAAATTTGGTGGGTTTTTCTTTAAAAGAGGAAGGTTATTTGTCCGACGGGCACAAAAACGCTTAGCTGGCATATGTTTAAGACGACATGTCCGCTCATATTTTCTCAGAATCTGACGTCATCTTCGTGAATGCTACGCACTGATGCCCAGCTTAAATGCAGCGGTCAAACGACCAGTACATCATGAACGTGAACATATGAAACACATCGTCAAGGACACGTCCGCAGGATCACGTCAAGTAACACATCTAGAGGAACCAAATCAATGTGAGATGGGTCATCCTAACCAGATTACTGAAACCTTACGCATGGTCGCGGTCAATTTCCGACCAAGTCGTAACGGCAAGAAGGGTCATCATAACCAGCTAACAAAAGCCTTACGCACAGTCGCGGTCAATTTTCGATCAAGTCGTAACGGCAACTTCAGCTTATAAATATTTGTTTTTCAGTCACAGTGTTGCCAAGTTTTGTGTTTATAAAGCTCAGGGGAACATTTAGACGTCAAGTATAACAGGGAAAACTGTCTACACAGATGATAAACGTTTGTGGAACTGTCTCTACCGAAGATGAAGATTCATTGAGTGACGTATAATTTGTAAATTTGTCTACACAGATGATAAACTTTTGTGGAACAGTCTTTACCGAAGATAAAGATTCATTGACTGACGTATATTTTGTAAATTTGTCAATACAGATGATAAAGTTCTCTACTGGCAGTTCAAGATGCGGCATGACATTGTTGTCGTTTGTTTTTTGAAAATGTGAATGCTGGAATTGTTGTTATTGAAATACTAATGTAATTCAGTCATTGATGACGCTATGACTATGTATTTATACGATGATTGACTAAGAAGACAGAAAAAAAAAACTAATAGTATTAGTTTTTTTTAATAGTAGGGGGGGAGGAGATGTCATAGCGTAGATATAAAGAATTAGACGACTAGTAGAGGTTACAAAGGACGGTGCGAACTTGACTGTAGACGATTTGGTGCGAGAGTATTGTGCGCATGTTGAATACAATATTTGTGGCGCGAATGTGACGTGAGCATGACACGACAATGTACCAATGACGTAGACCGCGGCAGTAACGTGAGTTGGGGGTTAGTAATGGAGGCGAGCGAGTTGACGAGATTCCGTCCCCAATGTTGTTGACATGGAATAAAAACGTGCTTTTTAAGATTTAGACCGTAAAAAAAAATAAAAAATAAAAACTTAAGCCTAAAATTAATTTAGAAATTTTATATTTTTAGAATAAATGCTATAAAAGTTGCAAATCCAGAGAACTTGAAAATAATTTGTTGAGTTTAAGGCTACATTTCTATTTATTTTCATCAAGCCTAAGTTATAACCGTATGTTTCACTTTCGTAAGACAAATATTGATTGGCTGTACAGTAACTTAGTGATCGATAACTATTTGTTTACAAAACTTTGCAGATCAAGTTTTTAAATAACAATGCAAATTAAAAACCCCATGACCTAGTTTTCTATTTTTAGCTTACAATGTGTACAATAAAATCAATGACGGCCTATCCAATAGCAGGATGCCATTGTTTATGTCGCCATTACACGTGAAAACCAAATTGTTTTTGTTTTTTGTTTAATTTTTATTTAGTTACCGAAAATATTATAAACATCAAATACATCCAATCTTTAGTAAAGTCCGGAATAAACCAGATAGACAGGATTTTATAACCATATTAATTGTAACTACGCTGTGCATGATTTTTAAACTAATTTATACACCTCTCAAATACCTTTGAGAGTTTTCTCGCTCGTGTTCATTGTAGGAGACGGATGTATTCTTTGATATTGTGCAAATAAGTGTGTATTAATAAAGTTAGTGTTCTTTTCATAAACGAAGTGGTTGACTTTTGCTAATTAGTGTCTGCGGAACATAAGAGTGATTCCCGTCCTACTCACAAGTATAATAGTTGTCGTATGAATAGTAGCAGATCAGAATATAGAAAAGATATAGAGAAGATATAATTATATAATATATATGAAACCCCCCATCACAGTATCCACTAAAATGTGTACGCCATACTGATAAGCCTTAACTAAACAGATACAGGTTAAGAGATAGAAATAAATACTATTAGATCAAGCCCGAGCAGTAAAACTAGAAAAGAACCAGGTCTATAATGGTAAAATAGTCGTTTACATTTTAATGAAAGTTTTATCATAACTTCTGAAAATATTAAAAACCACATTTCGAAAACGTGTACCAATGGAGACGCCATTGTATGTTTTCTTTAGAAGCATCTTGTTTTTTTTTTCAAGAAGAATATTTATACCCAAAGTTTGAGACTTTTTGTACTTTCTTCTTCAATAAATATTACAAAAATAAATCGACACAAAACAAAAACGACTGGTATTAAATAGTTAATAACACTTACAAAAGTTAAATTATGTCATACCACTACATTTTTTAATTTTTATTTTCAGCAAACTCTTTTCGTCAATGTTGTATTCATGTAACAAATTGACAGACCAATTATGTTAAGTTATATCATGTCTTGGCATATCTTCCTGTTGCACTTAGACGGGCAACACCTTCGACCTTCGCGGCAGTTTTCATCCATAGAGCACAGCCTATGGGTTCTTTTCTCACTTTTGCACACCGCAGAATCATCAGGAATAACAGTCGTCTTGGCGCAGTACCGCAACTCTCCAATGCGCGGCACACACACTGCAGTTCTTGTTTTCATGCATGGGACGATGTCTTCCTCTGTGCATTCATTGGTGCGCAGCGTACAGAAATAACCATCGGGGCAGTGAATATCACATGACACCGGCGGAAGGGGCACGCATTTGTACTTTGGGCACGGCGTTGTGACGCATTCAATTAAGGTGTCGATGCACATTTCGTTTTCCGGACAATTGTGACAGTAGACTTCAGGCTAGAGATATAAAAAATATAAACTGTTTAAATATAAGGTTAAACTTGCGACAGGTGTACATTTAACAACAAAAAAAGTTCGAGAGTTGTAAATATGTATAAGAATATAGCCTATTATCATAGCAATGCTGACATAGAGTTTAGACGTATGTACATTTTATAGTTCTAGAAAGACGGAGTGCCACACGAAACCGAATCGACTTCAGAGCTTTAGGCTGAAAGTGTAGACCTAAGAATCCAAAAATGGAGATGAAGTAGAGTCAAAAATTTTCAGTTGCCTCGTAATTTGAAGGTCAGCACTATGCCCAGCCAAATTTACTTTCTTTAACGTGAATCAGGTACCCATCAGAGCTGTGTGGACTCAGGGACTTCTTACGGACTCGGGTTTAAAACTCGAGACTTTAGAGTTTAGCAATCGTACGCCCAACCGTCTGAAATTATTAATAATCAAAA